CACAAAATATAGAGGATGGAGATGAACAGTTGGGGGTTAAGAAGATGAACAGTAGAAAGATGAGCGTAATGGTTGTATGGTTGTGTATATAAATATATATAGTACATGAAGGGCGCTAAGATTTGAAATTTTTGGAAAATCGCATCCATCATCATGAAGGGATGCACAGAACCACTAGGAAGGCTACACGTGTCCCTAAGAAGACGTTGTGTCAGCGTGGTTGGGAGTCATTCTCTTTGAGGTGTAAGATTCGCACCACACAGTTCAATGAATCAGACAGGCAACCTAGCTCGGCTAGTTATGGTAATCCAAATCATGCTGAAGCAGATTGGATTAAGGAGCAATTGAGAAGGAAATTTGTGTCGAACAAATAGGTCAAGCAAAATCTAGATTTGGGCCGAGTAGAGTTCGATTTGGGTTGTAGGCCTTAGCCTTTCAACTGAGCTATAAGAGCGCCCAGGTGTTGGACCGAGATGTTTAGTCCGTTTGGGCCAATGGGGCAAGCTTGATCAAATGACCGCCTTTCCTTCAACCAGGCTTGGAGGTGGTGTCCAATGACTTTGGCCGAGCTCTGGAACTGAGTAAGATTGGCCCTAGAAGGTGAGTAGGATTTGACCGGGCTAATAAAGTGGCCGAGATTGACAACTCCGCTGTGTCTGGGCTAAACGTATTGGTTGGTCCTATGTGTTAGACCGAGGAGAGGTCAAGAAGGTAATAAGATTTTCCACCAAGCTAGAGGTTCCGATTGAGATATCCACAACTTGACCGAGATGCAAGTTGACCGAGCTTGGAAAGTTACGTAGTAGGTTAACTAGAGCCAATCCGATTCGGTAAATGCCTGAGGCGAACATAATGGAAGTTAGTTCGGTTGTGCGAGCTATGTGGCCTAATCTGAGTACGAGGATGAAAACCCGTTGTCCATATGCATCAATACCGTTTGGAGGTTTAGTGAATAGTGTTTGGCAGTTTTGGCGTGAACACGTGTAAGGCAAAAAACGATAGTACATCTATGCGTCCAAGAAGGAAGAGCAAAGTGGTGCGCGCACAAACCCTATAAGCCCTGTGGCGCCTCCACATAATAAGTCTGAAACTTTCTTTACACATAGCTACCTTTGCTTTTGTCCTTCTTCTCTCTTTTCTCTTCTCTCTCTAAGGGTGCTAACTTGATCGTTAAAGGGGTTTTCCGACAATACACACACCAGGTAGCTCACTGTCGTTGTGTTTTCAAGCTAAACGACATCACTCAGAGTAACGCGAGGCTTGGACGAGAGGTGTACAGAAGCAAAGAATATTTGCCCCCTGTCCATTTGGCAATGTCATTAAAGAAATAGTGAAGAAGAATAATATTTTATCACACATTTAAATTTATTAATATAAAATGGTGAAAATAACCCATGATACATATCATTGCTCTATTCTTATTGTCATTATCCAATGGAAGCAAAAATGATATAAATTGTTTAGGCTCAATTTGTTTAGAATGAAATAGGTAGAAAGTTTTTTTTTTTTTAAAAAAAAAAAAATCAACTCTCATAAGTTTGTTTAGCTTGAAAGTGGTGGAAAGTATAGAAAATTAATTTTCTTGTACAACCCATATTAACATTATAACTAATTTTTTATTTCTTGCAAAAATACAAGAAAACACAAGAAAAATTAAATGCGTGAGTTATCCATAACTAAACTTTTAAATTTTTCTATCTTTTTCTTACAAAATTTTCATCTTAATCAAAATTTTCGATCTTTTTCTTTTCTTTCACTTCATTTTCTTTCACTTTCATTTTCTATTAAATTTTCTTTCTAATCAAACGGAACCTTAGGAATTGAGGTTGATTTATTTATGAAAGTTAACATATTATTGAATTTCTATAAAATGAATTCACAAAATTTAACAAGTAACTTCAAAGAACATCAATAGGTTTTTTTAATTATTATTGACGTAGGAGAAAAAATTATTTTAATATTCGACCTGGGCGAGGTCATTTAAGCTAGCAAGATCATATGGATATATCTCAATTGGATGGTATTGTTCTGCTCCGTGGGCTCAATTATGGATTCGATTTTGATAATTTAAATTATTTATTTTTTAAAATTCTTCAAGTATATCATTAATGTAAAAAATTAGATTAATCAGACAATTATAACTATATAATCAAATCATATTTGTTTTAAAAAAAATAAATAACAAGTTTGATTTTGAGAATGATTCAAAAAACTTTTTTGTTTTTTTTTTGGAAGATTGACCATGCACTATCCAATCGGTTACCCTTGCCTCATCTTCGAAGCCGCATGATTCAGGTCCATAAAAGTATCCGGCCCATAGCTTAATGGCTGCTCGACCCTATCTTGTTTTAATTGATTATTTTGACATGATTTATTTATAAATATATAATTTTTTTTTTTTTTGCATATAAATATATAAAATTAGAAGGCAAAGGCCTTGTTTAGTTTGTTTTTCAGAAAAAATTTTGGAAAAAATTCTCTACAAATAAATTTTCAAGAGTAATCAAACCAAACAAATTTTTTTTAAAAAAATCTCAAAATTTTGTTTGGTTACCTATTTTCCAAAATCACTCTCTCTCTCATACATATCAAATCAATCACTTTTTTTTAAATTCTCTCCCCAAAACAATTTTTCAAAACTATTTTTGAAAAAAGACAAATCGAATAAGTTTTTGTATTTTTTATCTCAAAAATTACTTTCAAACACAAATCAAACACACCAATCTCTGAGCCACCACCATTCACACTGAGAAAATATCTTGGCCAAAATGGAAAGAAATTGACGGGTTTAATGCAACAAAGACGTCACAAGGTTCAGATAGAACTAACTTGCTAGCGTCTAATTCAGGCAATGCCATATAATTTGCATGTGAGATATTTTGTGCATATATGAATTTTTTTAATAATACTAAATTTAATAAGAAAATAATATTTAGAGCTCGAAAAGGGTTTTGTTTCCCTTTTTTTTATTTTTTATTTTATCATTATTATTGGGACTTAAAGAGAGCAAATGCACTGCTCAATCCACACCACTTCCGGCGAAACTATTTCTAACCGCCTCTTTCGTAATCTATTTCGTTTTCGCGAAATTATTAAATATTTTTAAAATATTATGGGTTTACATTCCTTAACTAATCATCATTTAATATGTTATTCATGTTCTCCAATCACTCAATACAATACTTCACATATTCACATTTTTTACCAATCATAATACTATAAAATAAGACTACTAAATACTTACTCTTTGTTTCAAGCTTAGAGTTTCCCATTTCATGTTTCTAGAGACTTCTAGATAAATGGATCTGAGATTTTTAAAAAGTAAACTAAAATATAAAAATGTTAGGTAAGAGATAAAATAAAAAGGGTTAAAAACTAATTTTAATTAAATTAGTTTTTCTTAGGCCTCGTTTGGGAACAGACTTTTTTAATAACTTTTTAATTTTTTGGCTAAAATATTATGTAAAAAAAACTAATATGTTCGGGATGACTTTTTAACTTTTTACGAAAAAATGTGCAAAAAGTAGAGAAAAAATGAAATTTTTGACTTTTTGGTATAGGTTATTAGTTTTTTGACTTTTTTAGTAACTTTTTGACTTTTTAACTTAAAAAGCCACTTGCCAAACAAGGCCTTAGTCATTTTTTTTTTAAATTAAAATATTCTTAAAAAAGTAAAAAAAGGTGGAAACAGAATGTGGGGGCGGGTGTAGTGTGATGTTTGTGTGGTGTTGTGGTTTGTAGTGGTGTTGGTAGCAATTGTGGTTGTGTGGTGGTAAGATTGTAGTGGGGATAGTGACTAGGGGTGTAATTTTGGCCCGTGGCCCGCAGGCAGCCCGAAGCCCGCCCGCGGCCCGATGTGGGTCCGGCCCGTTTAGGCTCGAGCCCAAACCTAGCCCGAGGCCTTGGGCCAGGGCTTAGGCCATCGTTTTGAAGCCCGGCCCGACCCATGGGCCCGCCCAAAAGCCCGGCCCGAGGCTCGGCCTGCGCCGGCCCACCCGATGCCCAGTGTTATTTTTAATGAAAAATAATAAAATTTTGATAGAAAAAATAAAAAAATAATAAAAAAATTGTTTAGGCCCGCCCAAGCCCATCCAAAGCCCGAGCCCATGGGCGCGGCCCACTGGCCCGCTTAAAGCCCGAACACCCCCTAGGCCTGGGCTAGGGCCTAGTCCTAGTTTTCTGGCCCGTGGGCCGGCCCAACCCGATTTTTTGGCGAGAACCTGCAATGCCCGACATGGGCCGGGCCAAAATTACACCCCTAATAGTGACGATAGTGGTAGTAGTAGTCACATGACAATTGTGGTGATGGTGGTGGTAACAACGATGTGACTTTGTAGTGCTAGCAGTGGTAGCGATGGTAATGCGACAATAGTAGTCACGGTTATGTTGGTAGTAATATATGGTTGGGTAATTATGACAACAATGGTTGATAGAAATGGTAATAGTAGTGGAATGACAGCAATGATAGTAGTATTGATAGAGTGATGCTAGTACACTTCAATGATAATATAATCATAACATGTTAAATATTAAATATTTAGTATTCAAATTTAAGAAATTTTAACTTGCAACTTTAGTAAAAATAATTAAAATTTTAAGGGATACAAATTGTGAAAAGAATTTAATTTATTTTTAATGAATACATTAAATTTTTAAGTGCTAAATTGAATTATCAAATACCAACTTTAGATTAACGATCCGATAACCATACTAGGTTACTTGGCTTCTGGAGCCCCGGGCCCATTTAGGTAGTAATGAGCAAAATTTGAGTTGAGGTTTATATTCATTGACTTTTAAGGTGATGTTTAGGTTTTTACATTATAAAAAAAACATTGAATGCCTATTAATAGTAATAATTTAACTTTTTAACTTATTAATATCCTATCTTTGACCTAGAGTTGAAAAAAGAGAAAAGAAAAAACTAACCGTCTAACTTGAAATTCCTATAAATACTCATTGCTCCATTTGTGTCAATCCATTGCCATCTCAATCTAGCCAACTGATTTTGAAATTGTTGTCCTTGTGTACTCAAGTTTAGGAACAAAGTGAGGACTTGTTTCACATGGAGGGTGAAGAGAGTTCAAGCTCTTTTCCTATGGGAGCGACAGCACAAGAGAAGGGACACTCGTATGTCCCTGAATGCTATGTGATTCCAACTACACAAAGGCCTAGCTTGAATCCTCAGACCGCAGAGGTACCCCTTATTGACTTGGCTGGGTTAAAAGGGTCATCCTCGCAACGGTGTGCCATTGTCAAGGAAATTAGAAATGCTTGTCGCCGCAATGGTTCTTTTCAAGCAAGTGTGACAAGTAATCAAGCAAACCCGCTTCTTATTCTTTCTTTTTTTCCTTTTTGATTTAAACACAATTTGGGTAACTTAAGTTCTGTTTGCTTTAATGCTTTTAAGAACTTTATTGATTCTTCTCCCCCTTTTTGCCCTTTTCCATTTAGATACGGTTTATACAAGTTATGCCATGTTTGCTATGTTGCTTATGAGAACTATCTTGAAAACACAACTTGAAAATAGTTTGTCAAATAAATTTCTTGTGTCATTTTTTTTTTTTTCAGGAATAAAAGTGAAAAAGGTTTAATTTTTTCTTTGTTTTGGTTGGGGACCACTGTTTTCAATGCAAATTTGGCTATGTTCGTTAGCAAAATGATTTATTTATTTTTTTGGGGATATAGTTTGTTCGGTTAGTTTTTTTTTTTTTTTTTGTAATTTATGTTTTCTTTTGATTTTTGAGAATAGAAATCGAAAATGAGTAGTTTGTTTCTTTGTTTTGGTTGAGGAGCATCGTGTTCAATGCAAAATTGATGACTTGCGTAAGCGACATAATCTGTGTTTTTGGGGTACAATTTGTCTGCTTTTGTATCCATTTCAATTTTTTTCATTTTTGAGAGCAGAAAACAAAAACAATTCATTTTTTTATTTTTTTTTCTGAGTATTGTGTTCAAAGCAAAATTGACTACATGCCTTAACAACATGCTTTGTCCTTATTGGGTGAAATGGTACCATTTTAATCCATCTTTTCTTTTCTTTTCTTTACAATACTACCTACTTATAAAAGTATTTAAAAAATACTCATAATTTGAAATTTACATTTATTATTGGTCTGATCTCATTAAATTTAGATGACCAAAAGCATGGAATTACAACCTTTTTTTTGGGGGGAGGGGGGAATCCGAAGTGAAAATTATAACCTTATTTACTCAAAATACAGACGTTCACATTTTTGCCACTGATTTGCAATTCCAGGCTAAATTTACATAGGGGTGTAAACGGTTTGGTTCGGTTAATATTAAGAGAATATTTAGCACCGACCGAACCGATCCTTTTGATTTTTATGATTGAGATGCAGACCGTATGTTACGATTCCGTTTCATCGGTTTTGTCGGTTTGATATAGAAGAGAAATTTACATGAAATTTTAAAAAGTTTTATAGTAGATTATAGAATTTTACATTGAAAATAAATGAAGAAAATTGCTCTATAAATGTTTTTCTCCCTATTTTTTATCACAAATGTGTATTATATTAGTTACTTCTCATATAATATTCAAGAAATTATAATATAAAAATATTTAAATATAATATTCACTCAGTTCGGTTTGCATCGGTATAAAAAGTTTCAAAACTGAAACAAACCGTATGCTATGAAAAACTGACCGAAAATTAAAATTTCGGTCGATTTTGATCGGCCGGCTCATCTTTAAATGTACACTATAAATTTCAAATTATGAGTATTTTTCTTAGTATGTAACATTTCTGCTTCAAAAAATAATTAAAAAAATGTTTATTTACCCATTCTAACTATTGCATGAAAATCAATGATAATAAATATTGTTTGTTTCCTTTAACAGATCATTAATCATGGGATAGACCAACCTGTTCTTGATGGAGCTCTTCTTTGGCCTCGGGTTTTTCTGGCTTGCCAGCGAAGGAGAAGGTGAAATTTATATCTAATGAGGTGACTAGGCCAGTACGGTATGGGACAAGCTTGAAGGATGGAGCATACAAGATTCAGTTTTGGAGGGTTTTTCTTAAACATTATGCCCATCCATTGGAAGATTTTGTTAAATCATGGCCACCATATTACAGGTATATATATATATGACCACATAATTTTAGACTTTGTTTTTTATCATATTATTATTAGTTAAGAATATCCCACCGCATCTTTTCTAAGTTTAGCACTCGTCGAGTAATTTACATTAGTTATGCTACAAACTTTAAAGTTAGTTTTTTTAATTTATTTTTATTTTTAAAATTTCAACTTTTTTTTTTTTTTTTACCTAAATCCTTCTCAACTAGACTATTTTATAAAGTTTAAAATAAAATAAAAAAATAGTCAATTTTGAAAAAAGTTGTTAAAGATGAAAATAAACCAAATTTTAAATTGACTATTATTGTCTTTTCTGAACTTTTTTCAATCTTTTTGTTTTAAACTTTTAAGATCCTCCATTTGAAAACCCAAAATAAACCAAACTAAAAATCCCAAAAAAAAATAAAATAAAATAAAATCAACCCTAAGTGTCATCTCTCCCATTGTAGGCGGGTATATCTAGATGAAGTTATATTTTTGTCTTTCCAAATGAATATTAATGACTAAATTCCATTGCCATTCCTTCTTATCTGCTTAGCATTGCATCAAATATTCATAAAATTGTTGGAAAAAGACAGCAAACAGTGCACCTACAAAGCTTAATTCTAGTCAATGTTAGTGACTTAATTCCAAAGTATTCATCTAGTATATACACATGCATATGTATACATATATATATACATACTTTACTCTGTCACAGACACTATGTGTCATATTCATATAGTTACCAAGATATAGATCGAGAAAGGTGGGTTGTATTTGTCATTATGGGACATAAAATTTTTTAGTAACTGAATGTAGAATTAACAATCTCAAAACTAGAGTAATTTTGAACGCGCATGGTGTGACTTCTGTTTTGCTTTGTTTTTTTTTTTTTTTTTCTTTTTAACCCTTCTAGTTAAGGAAGGTTAAAACTACTGTACATGCAAAAATGTGTTGTTTGTTTCTAAACAAGTTTCAAATTGTGAAATGAGTAGTTGCTATTTAGGCTGAGTTGAGTTGTTAACTTTATATAATAGTATAGATAATCAATCATAGGTATAACTAGTCTTAGACCTTTCTCATTAAACATCTATTCCTAAATAAACCCTGGTGTTCATTTGTTTAGCAACAATGCTACATGTACAAGAAAAATAAACATAAAAATGAAAATTACCTTGTAATTCAATTCATTCTGATTGTGATAGAAACAACACCCATATAAAATTTGGGCCGACCACACTTTTTTTTTTTTTTTTTTAAACTCATCATGTGAAATGAATGCACAAAAATTATAAAATGTCTTACAAGTGAGTCATCGTCATGTGGGCTCACTCTTTTGTAAGACATAATGCGATGCACAAATTTTCTATCCATATAGAAACTTTATTTTTCTTTGCACTTTTTCTATACATATAACTTTTTCGTTTGGCATATGGAATATGTTGGAATGTTAAATGACAGAGAAAAGATGGGGGAGTATATGTCAGAGAGAAAGTTAGCCTTGGAAATCATGGGGGCCATTACAGAGAGCCTTGGAATAGGTCCTGCTTACCTGAAACACAAAATGAAAGAAGCAATGCAAGTCATGGTTGCCAACTGTTACCCTCCATGCCCTCAACCATCTCTATCACTCGGTTTGCCACCTCACTTGGACTACAGTTTCATCACAATCCTTCCTCAAAGCAGCTGTGGGTTCGAAATCTTGGACATTGAGGACAGAGGAGGGTAGTTCCGGAACTTAAGGGTGCCCTACAAGTTCATGTGGGAGACCATCTTGAGGTCCTAAGCAATGGCATGTACAAAAGTGTGGTTCATAGGGCTACCCTTAATGAGAAGAAGACTAGATTCTCCGTTGCTAGTCTCCACAGTTTGGGCATGAATGAGAAGATGGGGACTGCTAAAGAGCTTGTGAATGAACAACATCCAATTGGATACAAGGAAAGCAGTTTTAGAGATTTTCTGAAGTTTCTCGAGAAAAATGATGTAACAAAAGGGAAAAACTTCATAGAGACACTTAGAATTCGTTATTAGATGGACAATAAATGATGCACTTGCTATCTTTTAATACTCTATTTAATTTTTTACTGGGAACTTACCAATAAGTCCTATATACAAAATTTAAAACTTATTTAATCCCAAAACAAAATACTTGTATCAATTAGTCCTATATATTTTTATTTGTTACCAAAAAATCTTTTTTTTTTTTTTTAAATTTACAGATGTTGTTACATCCCACTACCGTCGGACTTTCGTCAGACGGTCACCGGAGACTCGCCGGAATGTTCAACATCACCAGCAAGTCGCCGGAGTATCATCGGGAAGTTGCCGGAAGTTCACCAGACTTTTATAAATGCCAATGGAAGTCACCGGAATGTCCAGGATGTTCACTGGACGTTAAGAAAAAATGATGTAACAAAAGGGAAAAACTTCATAGAGACACTTAGAATTCGTTATTAGATGGACAATAAATGATGCACTCGCTATCTTTTAATACTCTATTTAATTTTTTACTGGGGAACTTACCAATAAGTCCTCTATACAAAATTCAAAACTCATTTAATTCCAAAACAAAATACTTGTACCAATTAGTCCTATATATTTTTATTTGTTACCAAAAAATCCTTTTTTTTTTTTTAAATTTACAAATGTTGTTACATCCCACTACCGTCAGACTTCCGTCAGACGGTCACCAGAGACTCGCCGGAATGTTCAACATCACCAGCAAGTTGCCGGAGTATCATCGGGAAGTCGCCGGAAGTTCACCGGACTTTTATAAACGCCAATGGAAGTCACCGGAATGTCCAGGATGTTCACTGGACGTTAAGAGTATCATTGGAGACTCACCAGAATATCCAGAATATTGCCAAAAAAAAAAGAATAATAAATGAAGAAATTAGAACGAAAAAAATAGCAAAATGTGCTAAATATTGATAAACTAAAAGAAAAAAAAATATAACGACAAAAAAAGCAATAATGGGAAAAACATATGTTATTTTTCAATTTTTGTATGGTTTAAGCAAATAATCTCTAATATTGACCAAACTGAAAAACAAGTTTTGAAACTGTAAAATGTTACAGTTTCAGAGCAAAAATCTATTAAGTATTTATCCTTATTAATCAATCTGACAAACATTTTATGAAACTGTAAAATTTTACAGTTCTAAATAATGTTATGAAACTGCAAAATTTTGCAGTTTTAAACCATGATTCATTCCAACACCAAAAAAATTAAAACTGCAAAAATTTTACAGTTTTTACCGCCTGTAACTAATACTCGAAAACAACTTATTCAGAATTTGAAAATTTTCTCCATTAAAATAGAAAATAGACTTGTGTAACAGAAAAAGGTAGAAAAATAGAAAAATCGAAGAAAAGAATAGATATAGAAAGAATATTGTACTCCGGTAACTATTTTTTGTTTAAATCTAGTCAGATTTCATGTAGATCTACTCATCAGATTTGAGTAGATTTACTCATCTTCTTCGCCGTCGGTGAGGATAAAGTCACGAATTGATGTCGATGGTTGGTGGTTGCCGGTAAACCCCAATCAATGGTGGTCGTCGATCACCGGTGACTATATATTAGAAAGAGAAAGAGAATAAGAAATGTGTGATCACCGGCCGTCATCCATGACAAAGAAAATGAGAGGAAAACGTAGAAAAAAGAGAGAGAGAGGAAAACGTAAAGAATGAGGCAAAAAGCAGAAAAAGATAGAGAGAGAAAGAGAGAAGAAAAGTAAGACTTTTGGGTGTACTCAAAAAGTTGTTAGATTAAATAGTGTACACATATTTCAAACAGAACCTATGGGTAATTTTTCCTTTTTTATTTGATGCGGCATATTTACAATTATTGAATATTACTGGGATCATGTAAGACTCAAAATACCAATAACCAATAATTGTGAATGCGTCACATTATAAGATGAATTAAATGTGATATTAAAATATTATAAATGTAACATTATTATTAGATAGATACATATTGTCTAGACTTTCTATTGTTTTAGTGTCTTTTTTGTCAAAATTTATAGGTTTTTTGTCATGCCTCAAAATTTAGATAATTAAATATTAAATTATGATTAAATCCCAATCAATATTCCATCATCTAAATCTTAGGGGTGAAACAAAATCTAAACGTTTTCATCTCCATAAAGTTTAAGTAAATTTTCATGCTCAAAAGATTATAAGGGATTAAAAAAATAACAAAACGCCAACCAAACTATTTACCATAATTTCATAACTATCCAATACCTCTAACATTAAAATAACAATAAATAATAAAAACAACTTAAATACTGTAAAGGCACAAACCATGCCAAATTATTAAAATACTAAGGTCATAAAAAAAATAATAAATACATAAATTAATATCAACCCTAAGCTCAAGAAAAAAAAAAGAAGTCCAAGCAACATGTCTAATAATTATAGTTATTTCTCGTCACCACCGTAGTCCCAACTAATCCTACAAAAAAAGCTCGGCTGCACTCAAACAGAATGCACCCGAGATGTCAAGAGATAAAACGGGTCAGTATACAAGTATACTAGTATGAGTACAAATATTTGACTCCCACGTGTCTACCAAACACAAATAAAAGTACATTTAATTCTTGCTACAGGACAAGACAAGTATTTCCACCTGCACCGAGATGAATGATCAGCTTTGCATAAAAAGTTAGTAAGACCCACCATTCTGTAAAAAATAAAGTAAATATAATTTAATCATAAGTAAATTGTTGAAGAAATATAAAAACACATTGTTTCATGCTTAAATCATTCAAATTGACCAAAACTCAAAGAACAAAAGTTGTACATAATCAAATTTCCTAGAAAGCACCACAAACGAATTTAGTAAAAACTGAACAAGTTGAAAGAAAAACTTAATAGAAGAACCTAGACAAAATTCGATCAAAAAATCTGAAATTGAAAACGAAAAGAAACTGTCCTACGATGTTTTTTTGGGAAAAGTTTAAAACACAAAAAGTGTTCAAAATAATTTTTTTACTTCAGTTTACGTGAAATCAATAAAAATGAACTCGTTTCGTGGGTTAAACCGGCATCTAAAATCTGTATTGCTAAAATAAATAAAAACTATTATAACCAAAATCATCTAATTACAATTTCTATTCGATCTTTTTAGTGCAAAGTTAAAATACAAAAGTTGACTAGAATTACGTAGACATGCCTCTATCCAAATTTCATAATTTAACGAAATCGTTTACTATTTGTCAAGATGTACAAATCAATACAATTCAAACTATACCAATAAGTTCATATTTAATTCTTTATACCTTAACTTCACCACTTCGGCCCTTCACTTCCAGCCTACACATATATCCCATGTGCCTCTCGTATACCTAACACCACTACGAAGCCAAACTTGCACGGGGATATCGTCACGAGTTTGACTCACACTCCCCATATGGTTAGCATATACATACGTGCATAAATCAAAGCACTCGTCTACTTCTGAGAACGAGGCAACAATATATATACACAATCTCTCATCTACTCATGAGAACAAACATAGCAATGCCAAGCCTAAAACATTCAAATACATCTCATAGTCCTCACTTCTTTTTTTTTTACATTCCTTCTCACCAACATTCAAATAAAATAACAATCCATGGAGTCATAGTGGAATATTTAGAATTTATCTATGGATTCTAAGTTTATTTTAATTTCATATATCCATTAGTGTGATTACAATCATAAAATAAATACAGATAAAAACCCTAAACTTTGTATACGCAACTAATCAAAATAATTAAAATCAATCCATCATCTTCATGTAAATACAATATTAAACCAACATCAAATAAATAAAAATAACGAATTAAACATAAATTAAGGGAAGTGGGCTTTGCACTCACAACATTTTTTTTGAAGATCGATGAGTTACTTGAAGAATTAATAAAACCCCAAAAATAAAACCCTAACTTTTTTTCTTCCTTTCTCCACGCCGCCTCTCTCTCTCTCTCACTCTCTCTCTCTCGGCTTTCTCCCGTACACACAACAGTCTTCTGCTTCAAAAAGTTGTTAGATTAAATAGTGTACACATATTTCAAATAGGACTTGTGAGTAAATTATATTTTATAATATAAATACAACATAAATAAATATTATATATATTTTATCAATATATAAAACACTTTTTTTATATATAAAATATATAAATCTATAAATATTCGAATTACTTATATATAATTAACTATCACATTAAATTCGCATGTATCCACACAATTAATATAGCCAAAAATAAAATAAAGTAATAATAATAAATAATGACTTACGAAAAATAAGGGTCGCTACAATATACACACCTCAAAAAAATCTCATCCCGAGATTCGATAGGAGAGAGTACTAAACAAAAAGTTCCGGATGCATACGTCGAACTTTCTCTTCCAATTCCCAAGTGATATCGTTTTCATCCTCGCTCTATTACACTTTTACCAAGTTCACTTTCTTGTGCTGCAACTACTTTATATCTTGATCTAGAATAGTAACCGATCGCACCACATACGTTAGATCGTCACTAATCTCCAACATTTCTGGTGATACTACTTGAGAAGGGTCTTGCACACACTTCTACAATAAAGATACATGGAACACGTTGTGAATCATAGATAAAGCAGATAGTAGGGCTAATTTGTAAGCCACATTACCAATCCTCTCAGCGATCTCGTATGGTTTCACAAATCTAGGTGCCAACTTTACTTTTTTTTCCGAACCACATGATACCCTTTATCGACGAGACCTTCAAAAACACAAAATCTCCAACATTCAACTCATCCCTTTTACGTTTTTTATCAGTGTAACTTTTCTAATAACTCTGTGCAGTCTTAATATGTTCCCAAATAATATTCACCTTCTCTGTGGCCTCTCTCACCAACTCTGGCCCTAATAACGGCACATTTCCTACCTCCATCCAACAAGCAGGTGATCAACATGGCCTCCCATACAAAGCCTCAAAAGGTGCCATCCCGATACTGGAGTAATAGCTATTATTATAAGTAAACTCCACCAATGACAAGT